AGTAGATTTCTGTCATTTAAGCCCTAGCAAACCACGCAGGATCTTCTCATGCTTCATGTCTTGGCTTAAATCTCATTTCCTCAGAGGATGCTTCCTTGACCACCGAGATAGGACAGTATTTCCTATGAAAGCTCGTGTTTATCTCCTTCAGAGCAGCGGACAGATCTGTAACTACCGCACTGGTTTGCTGGCTTATTTGTCTGGCGCCCTCCCCTTTCCTGCAGCAAGCGGGGCCAGGGGTCTTCTCTGGTGCCTGCTGCCTTCGCAGCAGCTGGCAGATCTGAAGCATCACACGCCCCATGCACATGGCGGGGAGATGTCGCTGGGCCGCTCAAAGGTGAAAGAGGCAGTGCCAAGAGCTATGTGTGTGAACTGCCATGTACAGTTTGGGTTTAGTGGAGATGAATTTTGTCGAGGAAGTGAGAGAATTAAAAAAAATACTTTCAATCCCTTGTTTTATGACACTCTTCTTTCTGATTGGCAAATTTCCAGACATTTTCAAATAGAGTAAAGGTGTGTCATTCCAAATGCTGCGAAGTTTGAGGAGGCAGAAAACACACAATGTCATCAAGCTTCACAGGCTGTGACTTTGGAGCTTACTGAGAAATAGTGAAAGCCGTAGCAAATGGGCAAAGGGCCTAAAAAGACATTTTTCCATGTAAGGTGTGCAAAGGACCCAACACATATACAAAACAAAAATGCTCAATATCACTAATCATCAGAGAAATGCAAATCAAAAACACAATGAGATGTCACCTCACACCTGTTAGAAAGGCTATTATCAAAACAACAAGAGATAAGTGTTGGCGAGGGTGTGGGGGAAAAGGGAACCCTTGTCTATTGATACAGCCATTATGGAAAACAGTATGGAGTTTCCTAAAAAAATTAAAAATGGAGCTACCATGTGATCCAGCGATCTCACTTCTGGGTATACATCTAAAAAAAAAAAATGAAATCAGTATCTTGAGATATATATACTCCTAAATTCACTGCAGCATTATTCACAATAGCCAAGATATGGAAACAATCTAAGTGTCCATAAATAGATGAATGGATAAAGAAATTGTGGTACATGTATACAATGGGATATTATTCAGCCATAAAAAGAGAAGGAAATCCTGTTATTTGTAACAACATGGATGAACCCAGAGGACACTATGCTAAGTAAAGTAAGCCAGATACAGAAAAACAAATATTATATGATCTCATTCATATGTGGAATCCCAAAATGTCAAACTCATAGAAGCAGAAAGTAGAACAGTGGCTGCCAGGGGTTGGGGGCAGGATGGGGAGATGTTGGTCAACAGGTACAAACTTTCAGTTATAAGATGAACAATTTCTGAGGATCGAATGTACAGAAGGGGTGGTGATGGATGTGTTAATTAATTTGATTGTGGTAATAATTACACAATGTAAGTGTATCAAATCATCATGTTGTTCACTTGGGATATATTTAGTTTTTATTAGACAATTAAATATTTTAAAATAAGAAAACAAATAGAAACACTATTAAAAAATTCTTCAAATATACAGATGGCCAGAGAAACAAGTAGTTTCCTGAATTTAGATTACAAATTTGAAATTTATCTCTTTAAAGTCTCTTCAATACCCAAAACTATCACAGTGATTCTTTCTAAGGAACTTCAAGACAAAACTATAAGCATTTTTTCCATCTGCCTTTAAAGGTAAAAGGACTACTTTGTAGTTTGTTACCATACAGAAATAATGAATATACCATAGCCATTTGGGAAATTATGCCAAAAAACAATTCATGAAGTTTTCAAAGTTGAAAACATAGGACAAGAGAAACTGACACACACACACAAGCACACACACAAAGTAATCTTGGAAATTTTAGAGAGTATGTTTTTCCTTTCTTCATCAGAACAGGACAAAATGAATATTTATTACTAAGGACTGGGCAATATAGTACTCAATTTAAATTCATGATTTTCAGAGAATAACTGCAACAAAAATGACCCGCATTTTGGAGTTCCTAGTAAAACGGACGGAACCATTACATGAAGTAATGGTCAAATATAGTCAAGGATTTCTCCAGCTTGATGCCAATGATGTTTGAACTTTGAAGACTTTTTCAACTTCATCACAGTTCTGTTGCCTCAACAAAAACTGAACTTGGCTCTATGTTTATTCAACTTAGACTCCACAGTAATGTTCTTTGCAATGCAAGACTATTATCTACGGCTTTGTACTGGCCAACTGCTCTGGCAAGTGTGGAACACTCATTTCCATGATTTTACAACCTCCTGAATTACAGCAACACAGAGAGGAGACTCAGAGGCCGGGACAGAAGTGATGCCAGTGACACCCTGGAGAAAACTGGAGCATCAGCTGGCAGACACGAGGGCCCCCTGATTTAATCGCAGCTATAAATACACTTTAGTTAGTACGCTATCATAGTGTACACTCCTAAATTTAATGTACAGTTCTAATATAGATGGAGATGTTGCTGGTGCCATTACTAGGATGCCACGATGGAAATTAGCACATCTATTTACTAGACAGTAAGACGACTTCCTGCAATCCATTTGGTTCACTGCTGTCTCCCCAGTGCTGACAAACTTTCCTGAGCACTCCACACATGTTTGTTACTTGAATGATTATTTTATGAAACATCTCTCATTTATTAGAAAAATAAATTAAAAACTCATTTGAAAGGGATTAACTCTGAATGTATCTTTAAATTGTTTCCTTAGTTAAGACCCACTCATGGAGGGATATGGCACTACCACGTTCAAGTAATTGTCCTTACCTGACTCCCCTGAAAAGAAATCGGTCCCAATGCATCCAGGTAGACCTTTTAGGATGTCCCATTGCACAGGTGGCATATAAACATGCTTCACCCATGAGATCACTCTACTTGCACTTTACAAGACTGCTCAAACAACAGTTGTTCTATTGGACTAAGGTATTTGGTCAGATTTTCTTGGTATGGCAAAGGTTACTTTTACAGACTTCCCAAAAGGTTGTATTTTGCTACACTGATCCATTTTCCACAGAGATCTATGACTATATGCATCTCATCAAAAGGCTAAGGAACACTTCTTGACTGTGTGTATCAGTACCGTGTGGATGTTTTGGGTCATATTTACATTTTTGGTTTGCAGTGACATGCAATCAAGGGCATAAGACCAGAGTGAAATTCATTCTATGTTTTATGAGTTTAGGGCCTGGAAAATTGGAAGCAATACTCATACTTCAGGAAGCTCCAGGGGCTCAGGAAAGGGGGCATTCTGTGATACCAGGGAGCAGTTTCCTGGCTAGTCAATGAAGTGACCAGTACAGGGTTGTGGGAAAGATGTTATGAGTTCAGTTTTGGACACGTATAATTTGTTGCACCTGAGGAGTGTCTAGGAGTTAATGTGTCCGGGGCTACCAGGAGTTACAGATTTTGGAGTCATCACCAAATAGTGATATTTGACGCTTTGGGCGTGGACGAGAGCATCCAAAGAGAAAGCATGTTGAATGAGAAAATAAGAGGGTTGGGGATAGAATGCCTGGAAACACCATAATTTAGGGGGCTGGCAGCAGAAGAGAAGCCAGCCAAGAACGAGAATAGGACAGAAGGCTGTCACATGGGCATCGCCGAGAGCTGGCAGAACAGTCAGCATTCTTAAACGACACAGAGAGACGGAGTAGATGAGGACTGCAAACGACTCTTTAGAAAAATTACTAGAAGGAAATACATAAAATATCCATGGGTATATGCCTGACTGGTGAGATATGGGGGGGGAGGCTTGTTTTCTTCTTTCAACTTTCCTGTATTTTCCAAATTCTGTACAATAAATATAGGTTGCATTTATATTAAAAAGCTATTAAGATCTAAAAAAAAGGCTCTGATCAAGTCTAAAATATGAGAACTTGAAGAAAAGAGCACATAATTAATTCACAAATATTCAAGTGCTTTTGTGCCAGCACCTTGCTAAGTAAGGACAAAACAATGAACAAGTGGATGGCTCTGTTGCTTTACAAAAAGGAATGTGAAGCTGGTTTGGCAGAGGAGGGCTGCGGGCTTGTGGGGCAGAGATGAGGCTGGAAAAGTCATTTGCTGCCAGATTACAATGGACTTTATGTGTCTTGTCAAATAATATGGCCTTTATTCTGAAGGCTACAGAGAAGCTTTGGAGGGGCAGTTAGGATTGGAGTTGTGCTTTACCTGAAGTTAATTTTCTACTGAACTTGGGCAGTAGTGTGGCTGCCGGCCTGGGAGAATCCAAGGCCGGAGACAGGGGGCAGTTAGCAGGCAACTGGGGATGGGCCAGGTCCAGAGATAGATGGGAGTATGTAGCACCAGTAGGTCAACAGGATACAACTGACTGTATGTACGCTGCGGGGACGTATGGCCAATAAATAAATAAACAAGGCAACGACAAACTTCTTCCCCGCTCCAGGACCATAATTAGGGCAGTGCCCTTTCCTGAAACACTTTTCCTTGGGAAGTCAAGATCAGAATCACAACAGTCTGGAACTCTGCGAGTTTCCAGTGCTAGCCTCATGCATGGCAATAGGGGACGCAGGGGAGAGGTTTGTGGGTCGACCCTGTCTGGCTCCCTTGAAATCCCACCACTGAGGCAGCTCCCTTTCACAGACACAAGGAAGGTGGCATTAGCTGGTCTGACTAGACATCATTATTTCTTTCACTCCTGGGGCCTGTGAGCGGAGGCTACTGAAGTGAGTCCCTTGTGGGCAATGGAGGGAGAAGTTCAAGGTAGTACCTTGCATTCATCCCTTCTCCATTCCTCTTTCCACTCCAGGGAAAATAAAGGAGGATAATTGTTTTGGTACAGGAAAAAAAGAAAAGAATGACTATTGAGTTTTTAACTTGGATCCTATAGTTTGCATCCAGTTACTCTAATTTCTCGCTATAGGACATAAGGAAGTGCCTGTGTCACATCACATAGTATTATAATAGAGGGGATACGGTGTGTATATGAGATCCGTTTCTGAGACTGCAGCCACAAAATAGAATACTAAACTCTTGGCTATTTCCTTACTATGCATGTATATTTCGATACTTTTCTTTTTCCAGTCCACAGAATTCAACACTTCTGTGACAAAGAGGGGTGTTGGAGCTATTTTTTTAGGCAAATGTTGATATATAAACAGTTACGGTCTCCCAGAAAGGGACTTTCTCTGTTGGATAGAGAAGTCTGGAAGAAGACGGATGAAACTGCATGTGGGGAAGAAACATTTAACTAAATGGGAATCTCTACTTTTAGGGCAAGGGAGCCAAAAGGTGTAGGTCCCAGGGAAGTTGTATGCCTTGCTGCACCTGTCACGGTGCTGTACCTCATGCATTCTCTCACTTATCCCCACTTTACTGCAATGTGGAAAACCAAGGCCTTCGGTTTCAGTGGCACACTGAGGGCAAGGATGCCCAGCTAGTAAGTTAAGGAGGCCAAATCTGACCTTGGCTGGAAGTGCTACAGTAGGAAGCCTCTCTCCAGGACCAGCCAGACCAAGCAGCTCACATCCTTGCCCACCTCACCCTGCAGTGAGGGAACTTGGGCTGCACAGGCGATAACTGCTCTTGCAGCGTTTGGCTGTGACTTACAAGGGGCAGGCCTTCCTTATCGCCCTCGCTCCTGAACCCAGCGCCAAGTGGTGTCAGGGAGGGCAGCAGCCCATCAAGCGGTTACACCCTCAACCACCGATAAGATTCCAAACAGCGCCGCCTTTTCGACTGGTTGCTCCTTTCACTCCTTCGAGGTGTGGGCAGTGTTGCAAGATGAATTTCCATTCACTCTGAAAACAGCCGTTCTCGACGCCACTCACATCGGTCTGCCCTCCTCACTGGACGGGCCGCCCTCTCCCCGTCCCTCCGTCGCGGCCTTCAGGTAACCCTTAGGACGGAGCGCCTGGCCCCGCTCTCGCCGCCGCCGCGCGCGTCCGGCCGGAGCCGCGGCCTGCGCCCCGCCGCCCCCAGGCGCCGACCCGGGCGCGCGCCAGCACGGGGCAGCGCTCCCGCGCGCCGGCCGCGGACTCACGCGCTGCCGCTTGTTGCTCCGCCGCCGCGACGTGGGGAAGTGAAAATGAAATTGACTTTTCCGAGAAATGATGAAAGCGGCGCTGCCCGCCAATGAGCGGCGGCGGCGAACTTCCGCACCTCCCGGCCGGCCGCCCGCGCGCTCCCCCGCCTGCGCCTCCGCCTCCCGCTTGCACAGCCCGAGACAAACACTGGGGAGGAAGGGCGGAGGGAGGAGGGCGGGGAGGGCGGCGAGGGAGGGAGCGCGGCCCGGAGGAGGGCGGGGGGCGGGGGGATTTCCATCCTCGGCTCTTCGCAGTTTCCTCTCCTTGTTTTGCTTTCGATCTGGACTGTTCTCAGGCAAGCCGGGGAGTAACTTTTAGTTTTGCTCCTGCGATCATTCAACTGACGGGCTTTCATTTCCATTTCACACACCCTAGCAACACTTACACCTTGAGGAATTGTATTGGTAGCGTGAAAAAAAGCACACTGAGAGGTAACATTTTTCAAATAATAGTTGTGACTGTGCGTGTGTTTCTCTCGGGGGCATGCTTACGGGGGCCGGCGGGGGGGTGCTGCGTGTGTATGCGTGTCCTGATGCTTTGACACGGTGTTTTGCAGACGGAAAATGCCGGGGTTCGTAAATGTTAATGCCGGTGTTTGGAGGAACAGTCGGCGCGATTACGGATCGTCTGATTTTAGGGGAAGCAGGTTCTGCTGCTGTTGCTGCTGCTACAGGGGCTGCTGAGGCTGCGAGGAGGAGGAGGTGGAGGAGGAGGAGGAGGTAGAGAGGGAGGAGGAGGAGGAGGTTGGTGGAGGTTTAATTTCACTTTTGGATTCGCAGATGCGGAGAGGTGGCTCCATGGACACAGACCTGCTCAGTGTGGTTCTGCGCCCCAGGTGTTGTGTGTGGGGGCGCAGGTCCTCTGGAGTCGGGCCTCATTTAAAACAAAATTATCGTGTTGTGTGTGTGTACACGTGTGTGTGTGCAGCCACCGCCGCCAGCAGTGGAGGGGAGCGGGTCCTTCTCGGAGCCGGGCGGCGGCGCCTCTCCGCGGGCAGCCTCCAGCCACAGCGAGCAGGCACCGCCGTCCGCCTGGCTGCCCGCCGCGGCGGAGGAAACTTGATGGGGCGGCCCGCGGCTGTCCCGGGCCCGTCCGCCGCCGGGCTGGGGGTAGGGTCGCGGGCGTCGGGTGCCAGCGGCCCGGGCGGGAGGGCGGGCTGCGAGCGCGGCAGGGCGCCGGGCCTGGCGGACGCGCCCCGCTTCCTGGGGGCTGGGCCGCCGCCGCGGCTCGGAAGGGACGCAGCGTCCTACTTCCCGCCGGCCAGCGCCGGCCTGGCCCTGGGGCTTTGTCATTGCACTTGTCCCGGCGCGCGAGGGGCCCGGGCGGCGCTTCCCGGGAGGGCGCCGCGCCCAGGGGTCATCTGCCCAGGCCGCGGCCTAGCGCCGTGCGCCCCCGGGTCCCCGCGGGCGCCCCCGGGCCGGCCTCGCGCGCTGGGCCTGACCCGCCTCGGCTACGGAGCGGGCGAGGTGGGGGCGGGGAGCCTCCGGGGACGGAGCGCGCCCGGCGGGCAGGCGCGGGGGCCGGCGTCCCTTGGGGTCCAGGGGCGCGGGCCGCCGGGGGTGGGGACGTGAGTGCCCGCCCCGTGCCCTCCGACCCGGCTCTGGGCGCCGGGTGACATTCGCCGGCTGGCCGAACATGGTTGGTGCAAAGCCGCGGCCGCCACTTCCTTTCCGCCCCGCCGGCCGGGCTCGCCCACCGAGTGAAGCCGGCCGCGGCCAATCGCGGCGCCCGCCCGCTCCCAGTGGCTCGGCGGGGAGGCCGGCGCCCGGGAGGGCTCGGCGAGCCTGCCAAGTTGGAAGGGCTTCGGCCGAAACTCGGCCCCTTCCCCAGGACGCACCGGCGGCTCCCTCTGCCCCAGGTCCCTGGAAGGGGCACGGTGGGGCAGGGAACGAGGCTGCGGCCCGAGTAGGCAGGACCCCGGAGAACGGCTGCAAATGTGACCCCCGGGACTGGTAGGCCAGGTAGCCACATATTAGCGGGGTGGCTTTCACTCGTCTCTAACCCCTTAGTGTTTGAAACTTGGGACATATTACCTGCCCCCTCCCTCTTCAGACTCCTCCCTCCAGCTGCTCCTTGTCCTTGGTTATGGAATAAGAAAACGCCGAGTCTTTCTAAATGAGGAAAAGTGGTGCTGGCATTTGTCTTCTGCCACTGGCCTTCCTGTGGCAGTGACTCGGTCTGCTTTTGATGAATGGCCAGGCAGGGGGGAGGATAGTTGGATTTCCTGTTGTGGATTTTCAGGAATCACCAAGGCTGCTGTCAAGCCTGCACTCATTTATTAGTTTTCAGATCGCCTGCAAGTAGCGTTGGAACTTAGCAGCCTGCACTTTCTGGCGCTTCAGGGCAGGTGCAGAGGGGCTGGGGTGAGGCTGGGGTGGTGCATGGTCTTGATGCTGGACGGATGCGGGCTCCCTTTCCAGGCCCCCCGGGGTGATCCTGTTGAACTTTCTCACGCACCCAGATTCAGGATTCACTGATTGTCTCAATCCTTTTTTCCTCTTTTGGGGGAAAATAGAAACCTGACAAATCCTGGACAAACTTGTCTTTTCTCAGGAAACTTTAGCACATGGAATATTTGGGACTTAAACTGGCATCTCCAGGGGCAGCCTTGGAGCATCTATTGATTGATGTGGCAAAGTCCAGAATTTCACTATAATTAGTGAATGATTAGAATTTATAAGTTAGCCTGTTGTGTAAGAAGTTGGCTTTTGGTCTCTTGATTTAGATCCAAGAGTTCTTGTCTGTTATGATTTGTAACTGCTTCTTAAAATTAAACATTCACATATTTCATTCTCAATGAGTTTTTTTTTCTCTTGACCTGTAAAAGTTAGAGATAATTTCACATATATCAGACTCACCTGTAAAAATGTCATCATAATCGGAAGTAAGGATTTGTAGTCAGATTGGAACCAAATTATGGCAAACAAATGGTTGCCATAAAGTAATGACAGGTCTGAACCATGGTCCCACTTTTTTCTTATTCTGCTTTCTGAAATACTTTATCAGGCAAATATTCAATATACGAGAGCTAAAGATGTTTAAAGTTAATAGTGGTAAATTTGAAACTTTGGACATTCAACATTTGATATGCATTAGTTTTCGTATGTTATTAAGGACATTGTATTTTTATTCTTAACATCTAGTATAAATTCTGTTGTTTTTAGAGCATTTCAACATAATTTCCTTTTGATAGTGAGCAGAACACTGACCTGCAAATGGGTTATCTGGGTCATGGTTCCCTTATGTGCCTTATACCAAAGAAGGGCTTAAAGCAGACGAGGGAATTTATTTATGCATTTAATAAATATTTGTAGAACATTTATCATGTGCTAGACACAGTGCTAGGCTCTGAGTATTCAGCTGACGACAAGAAAGGCAACCTGTTTACACTCAGGGCTGCATTCTCTTTGGTTAACTGATTATAAACGACAAAGTAAATACAGTGGTTACCTTTTGGAGTTAGTTTTCTGGAAGGTAATAATACTTAACTGTATATCTCATAGGATTGCTTTTGTGAACAATTGAGATACTGTGTATGAAAGAACAGTTGCATAAATTACAGCAATCTACAAATGTGTAAGGCATTAACTTCCGAAATTCTATCAGATTATTATTAACATAAAAAAGCTGGGGAAACACGTCTGGATTACACTCTATCTTTCTCTTATAGAATTTCCCACAAGAGGGGATTTTATTTTTGAGAGTATACAAATAATGGTAAGGAATTAAACCTTGAATAACTTTTATGTAAAGTATCAAGAAAAGATTTAACAATGAAATCTAATGTAATGTTGTCAGTGAATTTTTCCCTGTCAGAAGGAAAGTTAGGTGGTATCCATGGAGACCAAATGATAATGGAAATAAAAGTGATTGGACCAATGTATTTTCCCTCTTTATATCAGATAAGAAAACCTTCCCAAGCCTCACTGTGCTTTAGTCTGAATTGTCTTCACTGTAGTATCAGACTCTTCAATTCGTAATTATCTCGTATTGCAGGTGTACCCTTGGCTGACTCAGTATTTTGCTCTACCATCTTTAAAGGGACTCAGTTCACATACATTTATTAAATGCTTACTGTGTGCCCAACACTATATATGTGAAAATAATATGTGAGAACATATGTGAAAGTAAATATAATTGATAGTATATATGTATATTATATAAAATACATAAAATAATATGTAAAAATAAAATAAATCGCTGTGAAATATCAGTTATTAATAAAATTCAGTTCTTCTCTCCATCCGTATGGGACACCATGTTCCTTCCTACATAGGGGTAGGAGGCCAGGATTTTCCACCTCTTTCTGCCCCATTGGTTGCCCCACTTTTGGCCTGAGTGTGGTCAATATTTGGTGCATAATGCCAGCTTAATGCACAGTGGGCTGAGTAGAAGGGTGGCTCAGGTGGTGGGGTTGGCTGATGGAAAAAGGGGTGAGGAGGTTTAATTAAACCTTTATTTATCAACAAAGAATGATTAGCAATGGGCAAGGTCCAGATTTAAACCTGAAGCCAATAATTTTTATAAAGTTCCAAGGGAAACACACAGCCAGGAGACCCAGCCCACAGGTGTGTGATGCTGAGTAGTAGCCCTGTCCCAGGGACTTGGCGTGGGCCCCTCTGGATTCGCAGCAAGCAGCAGGCCTGTGGTCGCTGGCATTTCCCCTTAAGGATCCTACAAAAATGATCTTCCCCCTCATAAGCTCTATCTTTTGACAGACTATCTCTGAAACAAATTGTGTTTATTTAGGAAGACTTCATGTGCCCATTTTTATTTCTCAGAAACACATAAGAGTTCCAGCCAGAAC